ATCCGATGCATTGATACGTCCGCAAGAGAATCGATTCATGTTTTGTTTTTTCCTCCGGTCTATTTTTATCCATTTGCTCCTGGGCGTAATTCTCCTCCCGTGCTGCGGTGGCGCTAAACCTATTTTGCCCTCCTACCGCACTTCCTGGTTATACTCTTACAGCAGTGTGTTGCAGTGAGCTTAACACAGACATTTTTAAATTATGCTCAATATTGAAGCGTGGTCTGTGCTACACACTGTGGGTCTAGATACGGCCGAGACGGTGAGGAAGTGGGGGGCGAGTTTAGTCAGACGACGGAGGGACATGAGGGCCAAAAAGAGCGGAGATCCAGGTGGAAAAAGGGTCCCAGCGTTCTCACGCACCTCACTCTTCTACTGGGTCAAACTTCACGAGTTGTTTTCCGCAATTTCGGTCAAAAAAACAAAACAAGCCGGCCTATAATATGGGCAGACCATAAATAAATAAAATAAAATCCTAAAGAAGGCTGCCAAGAATGCCCATAACAGATGAATATAAAAACGTATGACAATTATTTTACCATGTTTATAAAATTCCTACAACAGAACATTTTAGAAACATTTGGTTACAAAAACAGAAACACATAAAACTGCATAAAATCCAGAATGTCAGTTAGTAACAAAGGCTATAATTATAGAGTGTTATCTATATTGAAATATGAAAAAAAAAACAGTTTTAAAGTCATACGACTGATATTGCATTAAATTACATTGCGATACATAGATTTTGAAAGCCATTATGGAAGCTGATTTCGTGGCCACAGAGTGTTTACAACATAAAACCAACCAGTTTTCCGATTAGTCGTTTTTCTAGCAGGCTGTATTTGATGTTATCTAAGCGTACACCAGTAAAAAGAGGGGAGCAGGCATACAAGCCTGGCTTTATTTATTATTTTTATTAGGGCTGAAACAATGACATTAATCATGATTAATCGATCATTGAAATAATTGTCAACTAATTTCGTAATCAATTAATTGTTAACTGGAGCATTGAGACTGTAAAACATGCCTTTAGCTGATAGGAAACTCACTTAGAGAAGTAATAATACCAAAATTGTAAAAATAAAAAAAAATTAAAAACTCAAAAGACTTTGCATTTAATATAAAACAAACAAATAACAAACCTGGTTTAATTTCTAAAAAAATTAAGGAACTTTTTGCTAATAATCGACAGATTGATCAATTTGCAAAATAATGGTTAGTTCCAGCCCTAATTTTTATATTAATTTGTAAGAAAAATAACTAAGTCTTAGTCAATTACAGAATCTAAATGGCATACTTATACTTTGTTATTTTAAAATAAAATGTAAAAAAGGTTCCAATGACAAGGCTACTTTCTGCACAATGTTTCACCAATGCAAGAACTGCTCAGATCAACATGATCTATTTTAACAACTGGAATAACGGCTCACGAGTCTGTTTTGTACATTTAAATCCATGAGTGTTCTATACAAACAGAGGCAGAAAGGCACAGCGGCACGTTGCAGCTTGCTGCCTCTCAGTGCACTGCGAATAGCTGTGGTTTTCTTTCTAGATGGGTATAACTTCAGCTGAAGGTGCAGTAGGCAAAGCCACCTCAACATCAACTCCCCTGCATGCTTATTTGTAAGCTCAACTTCGAATACTGAGCTCATTCAGGGGGAATCAGTAGATTTCACCGCTGACCGGGGGAGACGAGAGGTGCAGCCCGCTCCGTTCTGTCTCTCATTATCTGCTGCCTGTTCGTCAAACTAACTAGAGCCAGAGAAGAATACCTGCACTCGCTTTGAAGGCCGTGCCTGACTACAGTAAATTATTAGCTCTCCAGCAGCACAGCTCCAGGCCCTCAGGACACCCCGGGGCTGTTCCACTGTGGGTGCCCTTACCTGTCATTCCAGCTGTTGGGCATCTCTCATTGAGGCTGACAACAAGTGCTACGCCTCACAGTGGTGCTACCTAGGTTGCTACTTTCTGAGAGGCAGTTGGGCGAGTTAATATAGGCCTATAACAATGGAGAGAGGGAGATGGGGAGGAGGGGCTGGGGGGTGAATTCAAATTAAATAGCCAACATTCCTTTAAAAGGAAGCGAAGGTAGCCTTTGGGCTTCAGACAAGCCAGAACTTGCAAAGCGTGGGTAAATAGAAGAGATGACAAGTGCAGTGCTACTTCTAGTCTAACAGAGCGTAACAGGAAGTGGCAAGGCCTGCTTCACATGGGGCTTCTAGAGGGTAGCGTCTGGGTGAGAACACGTCAAAGTCTCCATAACCACTAGCACCAACCAACACCCTACACAAACAGCGTGTAATGACGAGCAGACCTGATCATTAGAAACACCTAGAGGGGGAGGGAAAAAAAAGAAAAAAAAAAGAACAACTTGCTCTGAAAAATGCCAAAGTTTTAGAAAAAGAATACTCTTTGCACATAAAATCACAAAGATAAAGTGTGACAAACTGGCTTGATGACCTTTTCTGTGAAGCATGACTAATAAAATCTCAACCCACAGTGTTTCGCCAACTGTATTTCTAGTTGATAACGTTAGTCAGATAATGAAACGGCTCTGCTAGATGTACGGTAATTAGAGTTTCCTGTGAAGGCAGGAAACTCTCTGCAGCTCTGAGGGAGCGACGTCCTTTAGTTTTCACAAGGCAAAATTTCTCATTGGTAATCAATTATACATAGACACAAATTATTGAACTCTGTCTGCTCTGAGGCGCCCAGTCCATACCGTCTGATCTGATGATGAGTGGTATAGAAAGACAGGAGGGCTCTACTTTTTTTTTTCTTCTTTTCATGTCAGTATTGATTAGATGTGGTATTTGTTTTTGTTTTTATTCCTTCAGACTAAATGCTTTTTCTTTGTTTGTTATTACAGAGATGGTATCAATAATATGCTTATCAGGGCCATTATAATGGCTGCACTCTCCTGCAGAGAAACATCCATGCACTTTGAGTCAGGAAGTACTGTTCAGAGTTTACCACAGGACATATATTTTCCCATGAAAAATGAAGAGTGTGTCAGATTTGCCAAGTCTTTGGCCTACATGCACCCATCCTGGAGGAAAAGTCATTCACATCATCCAACAGGCTCTGCCATGGGATGGAAATTCACTTCCAAGCAAGATAATTACCCTTTCATACAACTACAGATACAATGGAAATGTTAAGATCAAAGCATAATCATGCTGTGAAAGGGCCCGGTCAAGGTCCACACTAAAATTCAAATAAGAATCCATCTAAGGGCTTGGAAATTGGTCCATAAAGTTGCTCTCCATCCATTTTGCAAAACAGAATGTTGTAAAATGATGCGCAAAGCTGGTAGAATTTACTTTGCTTCTCTTGCAGCTCTGAATGGTTCTATAAAGTACAGACTTATAGGGAGTGAACACCTTCAGCTTCTCTCTCTGTAGAGGAAAATCATCCATGCCATGTTTCACCATGAGCTTGGTTGGTGTGCTAAGGGTAAGGTGTTTGTTCACTACTGCTTTTAAAAGAAACAGATAATAGTAACCTCCAACCATTCTCTGTCCCTGCAAAGGAAAAGCATCCCACAGCATGATGCTACCCCTGCCATGTTTCATCATTGCCGTAGTTGGTGTGCTAAAGCCGGACGTACACTGTGCGATTTTTTTCAATCGTTGCACACAGCTGCTGCGCACACTGTACGACTAACCGCAGGGTTTAGTCGTACAGTGCGAGTTGACAGCTCACGATTTATGTTCGGCCCGACGCTCTCATGCTAGAGTGAAACGCACTGCCTTGGCAATTTGTGCATTTTTGTGCCAAAAGCCCTAAAAAGAAAGGGTGACGATGTATTTGGAAAAAAGGCATGGCTAAGCAAACGTGGCTACTACGGTCTGTCCATTTTACAGACATGACTGCATTTCACTCATTCCATCCGTGCCACGCTGCTGTGTTTACATCTGAGAGGAAGAATCCTTCTTCCTCAGCGATTCGAAAATCGCCCCGAAAATCGCACAGTGTACGCCTGGCTTAAGGGTAAATTCGTTGTTTGTTCATTACTGCTCTTAAAAGAAAGAGATAATAGTAACATCTAACCTTTCTCTGTCCCTACAAAGGAAAAGCATCCCACAGCATGTTGCTGCCCCTGCCATGTTTCACCATTGGCGTGGTTGGTGTGTTTTGGTTGATAAGCTCTTTGTTCAGATAATAACCTCTAAAGCTTATCAGAACGTCTGCTGTACACTATTAATAACTTAACAAGTGAAACTGGTTCCTCTGGACTTTATTTGGATGTCTAAGTTAAAAGAAGCTGAATCATATATTTCTATAAGGCATTATAATTTGTCTTATTGTCGGATTCTTTTACCCAAATCCAGACACTTGAACCTCAGCCTCATCTGGTAGCTGTTCTCACGCCAGTGCAGGAGAAAGCAGCTTATTTTTTAAGTTTTAACCTTGGTTAGCCTGTTTCCATTGGGCTATTTTGGCTTGATAAATGACATGGGAGGGGGGGGCACTATTTGAAAGGAGATAAAAAAAAAAAAAAAAGATCAGATTTCACAAGGTCACCTGCAATAAACCTCCAACTGCCTTCCCATTACACAAACCGCCTCTCTTTGGGATTATTAAACTGATCTATGGTTTCAGGATAAAAACCAAAACAGTCTCGAATAAATCCAGAAAAAAAAAACAGAACATAACTCTGCTGCCTGCTACCTGAGGAAGTTTTCTCCAACTGTCTGCAAACTCTCAGCTCCTGTGGTTACGTGGTTTTAAATTTCAAGCAATAAAAAGTCACCGTTTGACGAGAGACAACGGCTGTGTAAATTGTGGAAAAACAAAAGGCGTTATTAAGGAGAAAATGTCCAGAGAGGAAGCCTCCAGCTGCAGCGCAGCTCGCGCAGCATTCCTGGATGTGGACCCTACCACAGCCTTTTACTCTCCGGGAAACAAATATCTCCTCTAAACTCAGCGGGTAGAGGCGCAAAAAGCTCTAACAGCTCATTATGTAGACTGGAAATGGGTTAAAATGATTTACTCACCGGCTAATAAAGAGAAAAAGACAGCCGAAAGCGTGTAATGGGCTTCCTGATCGAAAGTTGCCGAGTGTCAGTGGGAGAAAAAAAAAAAAAAAAAACAGTACGCGGAAGTACACATGAAAAAGAAAAGCGAAGAAAATATGGAACCCGTAAAGAGAAGTAGAAATAAAAAGTTACTAATCAATTTAAAAAGCAGATATAGTTCATTTTAAATTTCTTTTTTTTTTTTTTAATGATGGTAATGTTTGTTGCTTTAGTGTGTTTTCCTGTCATATAAAGCAGCGAACGGTTTCCGCGCGGTGTCACACAGAAAGCAGTCCCCATTCTGCTGTAACAAATGGCCTAACTTTGCTATGATCATTTAGACTTACTAATATATGTACAATTAAAACAATCTCACCAATTCAGAATAGCATTTTTTATCAACTGTACTTAACCCTTTAATAGGGAACTCAGTGAAATACTTTGAAAAATAAACATTTCCAGCCAATAGTGTTATTGGAATCCAGGACTAGACCTTATTACCTCTGTAACGTTAAAAAAAATATGGATATTTTGATGGCAAAAAATAATGTGAATTTAATAACAAAATATGTCAACTTGCCCGAATATATATTTTAAAAAAATAACAGAAGTGCTTCTATAAGAAATTCATGAAAAAGACTATGAGAGTGAAAGACACACATTTTTGAACAAAATAACCTTAGAGGCATCAATGCTGATACTGGTACGTACATCTTTTTAGTTTATAAACCTAAATATAATTATTAACTAGGCTTGTTAACTTTTTAATTAGCTTTTACCCTTTTTTTTCCAACTTAATTTGCAGTAGGTAATATATCATTCAAGGGCTCATCTTTGGTCAAATGCCAAAATAAGATGTATAGCCACGTAGCAGGATCTTTGCTGAATGGCTGGATATAGATCTAGTGCATCTAGACCTCCATTTGTGAGGGCTATGCAAGTGATCTAAAATGGTAACTTGCCCTATAAAGGGTTAAATAGGTGCTGCTGAGGGTATTAGATTGGCAGGGCAACCCTTAAACATTTATATAAAGAAAATTATATAAATTATGTTGACATGATTCTAATGGATATATTCTAACCGTAATAATCCTATAAACACACATAAATCAAAGAGCAGTTATTTCAAGTAGTTTTGGGTTTTCTTTCTGATTTTATGAAAGAAAATTCATTCTCATTATCTCATTATCACTTTTTAATTATCAAATTATTTAATTTGATGTGTGAGATTATAACCTAACCTTAAACTGATAAGTTTAGATAGAAATATAACATTCTCTCAGTAGGAATAGATTGCAGTCTGGTAGGTGAACTTTGCGCTTGTGTAGATGGACTTTATTGTAACTAAAGTACACATTTTTTGAGATTATTTCTCTCTTTAATACATCTCATTAGCGCCACATGGTGGACAAACATTGTTCCTACTTACAGTTGCTCTGTTGTAAACTGAGATGAGCTAAAACAAGTCCTGTGTAATGTTAACAGTGAATAAATAAGATAGGGAGTGAATAGAGGTGCATGAGACCAATTTTATTTACTTATTTTTTTCCTGTTATACCATTAGCAATGTGGAGAAAAAAATAACAGAGATCATTTGCAGCTGTTTTAATGTCCGGGTAACTGTAAAGGTAAAATAAATTAAATTGGAGTCATCAGTTTTATTCCCTTACAGAATTGTTTTGGTTGAAAAATAATACAAGTGTTGCTACTGGTGCAAAGGTTCACACAGATTTTTGGAGAAATGTGTTTTGTTTTAAAGTAAGATAGAAAATTGACATTACTGGGAAAGAATCTTCTTGAGGTGATTTAACGATATTTTATGAATCAGACAAAGAAGAGTTGAAGTATAACAAGTTCTTATATTTTTGTTTAATTTGTACATAAATTGTAGTTAAGAGTTTAAAAAAAATGTTTTTTTTTTTTCATTATTATTATCCCATTTTTATTCAAATTTTGGTTTTCATTACTTAAAAATTTCTTTAACAATTTCTATCTGCAACCTACCATCTAAACTTTCTTACACAAATTCTTTGATGCTGTACATATTGTGTTAATTGGCACTAAAGATTTTGTGTTTGTTGAGTCCCTTTAAATAAAACTCAACTCAATTATTCTACTGTATTGTATTTTTCACCATATTTATCTGGTCACTGCTGCAATTAATAAATGGAAATGTTCATTTCACTGTTGTAATCTGCTCATCACTGTATAAAAGCAACATGCATCACAATTTCATTTTGTATACACTGTGTATACAAAATGACCATATATTTTGTCTACTTCTAAGTCTAAGTCATGTGGAAATTATTATTAAACACAGAACAGACGACAACAAAAAAGACAAAGAGGAGATAATTCATTTAGATTTATATCTACATATTGTTGATCTGCTGTTTTTCAAGCTGAAAATTTTACACAATGTTTTTTTCACCCATCTATTTTACATCACGCTTTATCCCAGCTGGGGTCCCGAGGATGTTTTTTTTCAATTCAATTCAATTCAATTTCAATTTTTTTCAATTTTCAATTGTTAAATATTTTATGAAAATAAAATATTTTGTTTATTACTTGTAACTTATTTGTTTGATAAGTTTAAGCACAAATGTGTGGACTCATGATGACACAGCATATTGTACACAATTGTAATCTGTAATTTGAAAAATCCTCTATTGGGCTTTTAACAGTTACCCATATAGTTATTCTCTCATATAATCTTGTAAAGTATTGAACTCTTAAAATAGTGACACAACAATTACAATTAAAACATAATTCCCTCCATATTTGCTCATAGCCCTGATAAGGATGTGATTTTTTTTTGTTGTTGTCTTTTTTGAGTTTCACTTTTTAAAATCACACATATGTAGGCTTTGGCTTTCTTTACTGTCCTTTCTCGCTTCAAGGTTAAGTTCTTGTTAGGCTTGTTTTTCACAGCTTAATTTTTTCAGTATTTCTTAAGATATGCTTTTGATTTTCTTTTTTATTTATTTTTTTACTCTATTATATCTATTATTATAGATATTGGTAAGTTTTTTTGTGAAAAGCCACATTCTTATAGCTATCTCCTGAAATATGAACCCAAATACAGCATTAGTAAAAGCCATGTTTGCATTTCTTCCTCAAAGATGGGGTAAATATATATATATATATATATATATATATATATTTGTTTTTTTTTTTGTATAGGGAGAAAAGGAAGACACAGATTGTATTATTATATCTGTTTGCTTGCATGTTCATTTGCACTATCATGATCACTTCATTCATTCCATAAACTCACCCACAGTCTGCTATCCAGAATAATATTTATTGCTTTCTGAAGATAGTATTCTTTTTCTTCTTTTGGCAAATTCATTTTTTTTTTCTTTTTACAGTAAAATAAAGAACGATGATAAGTAGACTCACTACTTTTTCAATTTGGGATGTGTACACACACATACACGCAGAGAGGAAACAATATTTACAGCTTTTTCACATGACTTGTGATCTTTCCTGGAACAACTCAACAAAACATAAAGCTTTACAGTAAGTTTACAATAGCGCGTACACAACGGATCCTTAAAAGTGACTCTGTCTGGCAGAAGGAATGCTGCTAGGAAATTTCATTTTTTCCCGTCCAATCTTTAACAATGTTTTCCAGCAAGAATATGTGATGAAAATAGACACCAATTGAAAAACAACCAAAGCAGATTATTGGGAAGGGTTAAAAAACAAAACAAAAAGAAAGACCAATAAGTGTAACATTAGACTAATTACAATAGTTCACACTGGCTTAAAAAAAATGACTTTAAGACTGTAAGGCGGTTCTTTTTCTCTGGGCATATGGTAAAAATAACCATAGGACACAATTAACTTGGGGCAGACAGAAAAAAATAAATAAATAAATAAAAAATAAGATAGAGCTCTTTCTTCACTTTCAGATTGCGGATCTTCTTTCATTATTTGTTTAAACCTTGATACACCGACGCTTATAATTGTCCAACATGTTTAAATACTGAAGTAAATCACAACAATACAGGTAAATCTTATCATAGAGGAATCATAATTAAATGTCATGTACACCATATTAAAATATATACACAGAAGTATTCATACAAAGTTTGGGTAGATCCAGCTGCTCAGCTCTCTTTTTCATTCCTGTTGATGAAAAAGTGCTGCAACAAATTCAATTATCACAGAGTGATGCAGGTAAAACTTAATAACGGATATTGTGTTTTTAAATATAAAACACATTAAAAAGTGCATATTGAAAAAAAAAATGAAAAAGCATTTTTCAACATTGTTTTACAAAAGAATGACAATGCTTTTACCTTTTCTTACATTTAGTCCCATAACAACCACAAAATTCCAAATGATCTTTTGAAACGCTTTTGATGAATCAACATAAGGAAATAAATAGCTAAAATAGAAATAATACACGGTTTCCCAAAAAATATGGCTTCCTTTTTTCTTCAACCCCCTTTACTTTGATACCCTAAAATAATCAAAAGCAACAAGCTGCAAAATATCCCTTAATACTGTTAAGACCTCAGCGGTTCATTGTAGAACATAGGGAAACAATAAAACATGAAGAAGACCAAGGAACACAGTGGATTGTCAGAGATAAAGATGTTAAGCGGCTGAAAGCACAGTTAGGTTTTAAAGCAATATCCCTGACAGGCTGAAGAAGGAAATTATTAAGCATAAAAAATCTGTACTGTATGGAAACATGGGAAAAAGAGTGCCACTGCTTCAAAGTATTCAGAGATCCCCTTCATTTCGCTTCATGTGTTTGACAAAGTGTTCTTTTCAGAAGAGTCCAAAATATACATATTTTCCAGTTAGTCGCAAAGTGCTATTAATGAAAGAAAACTGACATTCTGTTGATAAAATTAAGCATCTAGAGGTACAAAAGAATGATTAAGGTCATATTTATGAGGAAAAATGGCTCAAACTTGAATAAATCACAATAGTGGAATTGACTGATACATCCCATTGGTTTGAAAATCATGCATTTTCTCCTTTTTTCACAGTTATGTGATAATTTTAAGAAAAATTAAGTAGCAACATACTGTTATTTTTGCTTGTAACGGGACAAAGGTTTAAGTTTTGTTAATACTTGCAAGGGCACTGTAGGGAATAAGGTAAAGGCTTTGTAGACAGTATTACCAAAGAAAACCAGTAGGTGGCAGTATTTGACTATATCTCTGAATTGCATGTTTAAAGTTCTAATGCAAATATGTAAACCTGTACAGTAAATTTGCTTTGATTATTTAATTTTTTTAAATCTGTTGAAGTATGTCAATTTTCTTCCCCAGTCAGATCTGAAATTTTCCACCTCGTTGCCCTTTTCTTCAAGCTTGACTGCAGACAGCAAACTGAAAGGTTCTTACACATATTTATTGTGCAAAAAAAAAATAAAAAATCAAACAGAATAGAAAGTTAAAAAATGACACCATAGCAGTTTAAAATATTGTATTCTAATCTGGGGGAGACAGTGGGGTAATAAGTGAAGAGCTTATACAGCAAACAGTTTCAGAAGCAAAGAACTTATTTTATCTGGAAATAAAAATAAAAAAACAGTCATGGATGAAGATTTGATCATCTAAAGCAGGAAAGAAGAAGAGAGTTATCAGAGCGTAGGCCAGACAGGATGGTTGGAAAATGTCTTAGCTGTGGATCATTTTCAGAGTCTCTGCCTCCCTGTGTCTGTCATGCAGAGCCATGGACGGGGAGAGCGTTGGAGGCAGGGAAGGAGGTGGAGGAGTAAGGGGCATCAGGCCCTTCAGTGGATGAGGAGACACTGGTGGGGGGAGCGAGGCGATAGGAGGCAGCAGACTCCCTTTTTTTCCATCCAACACTAGGGGTGAGCGGCTCACAAGGCTGGATTCTTTCCCAATGCCAAAGTCATGATCGTTCTCATTGTCTGAGCTGCAGTCGCTCAGATCCGTTATCTCCAAGTCGGAGTCTGATTCCGGGTCCTGCTTCACCCCGCCTCTCCTCTCTGTGGGGCTCTGCTGGCCCGTCCCGGCTCCAAGGCTGACGGCCCCCAATCCCAGACCCAGGCCTGTGCTTGGAGGGCTTGCCTCCACCCTCTCCCTTTCCCCAAGTGTCGCCCCGTTGCCAATCTCAGTCCGACCCATTGACAGGCCACCTGGGTAGGGCGGCAGGCAGAGGCGAGCCGGCTGACCACCCGCTGTGCCATTTGTCCCGGCAGTCTGCCCTGGTGCTCCCCTTTCACCTCCGGCAGCCTCCCCTGGGGGAAGTAGTGAGGAGAAGGGGTGAGGCAGCTGGGAAAGGCTGGTCTGCAAAGGATTGGGGTAAAACTGGGAGGGGTAGAGGGAGCCGGGGGGCAGTTTGGGGCAGTTATTGAGAGAGAAGGCCCCTGGGAGGTACGGGTTGAAACTCCAGGGGTAGTCAAAGGGTGGGTTGCGAGGGTAAGGGCCCAGCAGGGACGGGGGTTTGGAGTAGCATGGGGCACCTAGGAGAGAGGAGACCCAGGAAGACAGAGGTTAACTCTTGGAAGGGGGCAAAGGTTTCTTGACTTACAAGATCCAAGAATGTTCACTAATTATAGCCAGGATTTGCAATTCAAATCAGGAGCCACAGGGGCTAATTCTGGCACAGTTGCCTTCAAAAACCTGATGGTTCATTTATGCATGCCAGTGCTGTGTTATACACCCACTTCACGCTGCATCAGAACAGATGTGAGCACAGATCTGCACTGCAGGAAAAAGTGATTAAACAGAACTGAAATCTTACAAGTGACTATTATTAGAGATGGTCTGAAAAGAAAATGTAAATGTTAAACCATAGAAAAATGACTAATATGTTATTACGTTTTCTTTGATTATACAAATGTACTTCTCTACAAATTAATCAATGCGCTGCATTTTAATTCAGTTCCCTGTAAATATTGGTTGCTAACCCAGATAGGAGGTAAATCTGAGGTGAAGCCGTGATTCACTTTTAATGAACAAACAAATACATTGCCTCTCAGCCAACCCGACTTCCTTCCAAATGACAACCAACTCAGAGATTCTGTCTCTGCTGCACCCTCCACCTCTCTCCTAGTCTCACTCTTTCTTTCCCTACCACTCCGTTATTTACTATGCAGGGCTAATTTGACAGTGCTGAAGTCTCTGCGTGCTGGGCCAGGAGTAGCTGGCAGACACATGAATATTGAATCAGTCAGGCAGGCCTCACTTGCTTATGAAAACACAGTAATGGGCGCCCACAGGCCACAAACCGAAGCCTGCACCCTCAATTAGGGCCTTCCTGCCTGGGAAGGGATTAGGACAGCAGGGACACATGGGAGGGGAAAGGAGGGTGTGAAGGAAAGAAGGGGGGATAGGACCTGAGGACAAACAGAGGAGGGAGGAGAGGTGCAGGGTTGTGTGATGAGGCTTGCATGTGTGTCTGAGTGCATCTGTTTACATGCTACCTTTTTTTCCAGCTCGTGCAGAAAAAGAGATGCATTTGAAATTAGATGAATTAGACACGAACCCCTCCAATGTTTGTTGACACTCTGATGAACGTGCAAGATCATGATGCAAAAACTGGAATATGATTTCTTCAGCCACAGACTGGTTTCTTACCTCTGCATAATTGACAGAGTAACCTGGCCTCTCTCACCTGCAAGACAGCCTCACTGCAGGCTGCTGTGGGACAGCTATCGCTCCTGTTTCCTTTAACAATAAATGTTCATGCCTCCTCATATCCTCTATCCTGTCTCTGCTTTCCTCTGTTCTCTCTCTGCACCTCCAACCTTTTGTTTAAGTTCTAGTGTCTGCTAAAGAATAAACTCTATATGAACTGTTCCTGGAGTGGTTATAGTTTAGTTTACTGATAACAACTAATTTAGCTCACCTGAACCGAGGAAAGGGAATGTGTCCAGTCTCAATTTGTCTCCTTCAGGTCCCGGTGCTGTGGATCCTCGATCGAACAATGACGTTCCTCTGCCAGTGTCTGGCAAACGAGGAAACAGGGACTGTATGGCCTAAGGAGCAGGGAAAGGAGAAATAATGATGTTAACACATGGATTTGGTCCACAGATATAGGAGCATCATCTATTTATGTTACATCCATAAACTTCCAGAGGCAGATTTTATTCCTCCCTTCTTTACAGATCTGTTGTTTTTGCACAATTTATGTGTCAGATTATAAAAAAGATAATTGGACTATGAGAAAGTTTGAGTAAATACAAAAAAGATTTCATATGAGCATTGAGGATTAAAACCCTGATCAAAACACCCTTTCTCTATCTGAAAAGGAGTAGCTACATTTACCCTGTTGGCAATGACTGTTATTTAGGATTTACAAATGCTGATGAGTTATTCGTTCTACTTTGGCAAAACTTCTTCTTCTTTTTTTTTTTTGACTTTTTTTTTAATCAAAGTCACATGAAAGGATTGTGAGCATCAGGGATCTGTTTAAGGTTGCATCACAGCTTCTCATTTAATCTAATCTCAGTTATTCTTAGACCTTCATTTTGTTATCTGTGTGTTTGAGCTTAAGTCCAACAACTGATAGCCAGTGGCAGTTCCACAAAAATGATAATGCGGTGGCTAAAAACTAAGCTTCAAACTATAAGTAAATAAACTTGTGCAGCATCTGCATTTTCCAAGTAAACCACTGAAGATGGACGAGATTTCCATGAGGCCTTTTGATAAGAAAGCAACTGTCAAATTCATTAGTTACATGGAAGATTCCTGGATGCCTGCAAAGACAAAGTCTCCCATATAAAATCTAAAAAATGAATTAATAGAAGAGCAAGAATCCATTTTAGGCATCTTCATCTTCAGTGTATTGTGAATTGTTTGCTGTGTTGCCAGTTTTTGGAAGAACAATGTGCACCATTAGATCATTTTTTGATATCTCAAACTGTATCCTACCAAGAATAAAGTGTGAAATATGCCCCCTGCTCTCTTCCCCAATGCATCTCCTATCTTTCCACAGAGATGAAAGGCAGCGCTATAGGTAACCGCCTGGGACCTGGGGAGCCAGGAAACCTGTGGGAACCTGGCAATCCATAAGAATGCGCCGCTTTGCCGAATGGCAGCGTTCTGTGACAGGCATGGCCTCAGTCAATCTGTTTCCCCCCTCTTAGCCCCACCGCCTGAATGTATGTGACGTATTGTGATGAACGGTTGTACTGAAAGTAAAATGTCGATTGCAATGTAAATTGTAGTTGACAATAAAGACATTTTTGATTGATTGATTAATTGATTTGATTTGCCCATGTGCAAGCAGATATTCATTGCCTTAGAAAATAAAATTGTGGTACTTATTTCTAACCTTAAATTGCTAAAGAATGCTAAAACCACATATCATAGGAATTATTCAAGGAAATTTCTGAGAGAATTGGGCGTGTTTTACATTCTTTCCTTTAAATTGTTTTTCTGAAGTCATCAGCGGACTTGCTTAGAACAGTCAGGCTAAATATGATTACAGAGTATTTATCTGTAATTTTGAGGTGTCTTTCTTTAGATCAGGATCACCAACTTTTTTAAGACTGAGGGCTTCTTCATAGCTATACTGACCTATGAACTGACTGAATGATCTGTGAAGTGCCTTGGGATGACATATGTTGTGAATTGGTGCGATATACATAAATTGAATTGGAAAAGAGGAGTCATACATAAGGAAAACATTTTTATTGTTTCTTTTCATTTCCAATTCCTGTTAGATATTGTCATTTGGAGTTCTCTATAAATGCTTAAATACTCTATATGTTTAATATGATAAAAGGCTCTATAAATTATTTAAAAAAAAGAGAGCAATAGAATAAAATAAAATTTCAAACTCAGCCCACTGGTGAGTTGTTCTGTTTTTAAAAGACGCTGAGGGATCTGAATGTGGTCCTTAAGGGCCCATTGGAGCCCTCAAGAACTGCTTTGGTGACTGCTGCTTTTGATTATGCACTATATAGCATAAAATTACAATGAAAGGCAAACAGGAAACTCAAAATTACTAAATTTATTCAAGAATTCCAAACCCAAAAGAAATAACCGCCGGATATACAGCAGGTTCCCATTTCCGGTGAAGATTTGGGACAGACAAGTGATATAACAGAAAGTATATGAACGCATTTATTATCTCAGGAAATAAATTGTTAACCTTTTACACATGATGGTTTAATATGTTAATCATAATTAGGAAGAGAAAAAAACAAATTTCTGTCTTTTCTATATTGCACAATCAAAGGAGATCCAGGTGTATTTCTGTTTGCGGCTGCGCAAATGAGCTGATGGTACAGATCGTGCTTAACTGTATGGATCGGTTAGTGACAATACTAACTTTAAAAAGTCAAAGTACGACATTTTACATGATAGTATCACCACTGCCACCTTCTGGTCAGGAGGAAAACTGCATGTTACAGAGGTGGTGAACAACTTCCACATGGGAACAACGAATCACCAATGATTGGTTAAGGATGGCCAGGACTTTTTTCTAAAATGTGACAGTTTAATGACTTTTTGAATGGAGCGCACAATTTCCATAAAGGTTTACTTTTGTCTCATCAGTCCACACTATTTTTCCATTTGCCTTCATTTTTGTTAGCCGTTGCTTTAGTTTGAAACTCTCCAAGACGTGCCAGATTTACCAGGTTAACCGGCCAATCCCGAAGTTATCCCTCTGTGCCTCCCCTCTTCCTTTCCAGTAAACACCTACTCTCACTTTGGTTTAATGAACTCCCAAAACATTACAAATGACTTTGTAAATTTGCAAAGTGGATGCTATGGTTTTAATTTGTTTAGATAAGTCTACTTTATGCTGTAAGGGTGGTACTTTGAAAGGACATTCCTGATTCTTAATGTCTGGCAGTAACCAGACCAGGGTAAGGTTTGTGAAACTGAACAAATTTCCATTTACTCCATTTTTTTTCTAATTTTACAGTTAGTTTTATGGCCTGAAGCATTGTTGAGGAAAAAAAAAACATGCTTTCTGTTTTATTTAACAGTCATATACTACTTTGAATGATTCTATCTGATAATATACAATCCTGGAAAGGTATTGTAATATGCTAAACTGAGTAGATGAATTCCTATCCTCTCCTTCTGTGGCGTGCAGCGTAAAGTCATATGTTGACAGCTGCACCCTGCAGAGTGTGATGCAAACAGTGACACAGTCACAGCAAGGACAGGATAAAAGGGGGCGCACTGGGACTCACTGTAAAGAAGAATACAGAGGCTCCGAGTTTCAAAGACAGGAAAAGTACAGAGTCAAGTGGGGACCAGCGATTAAGATATTTGGGACCGAGAATGAATGACAAGGAAAGGATTGTGGGCCAGTTTGAGTAAAAGGACGCCTTCAGGAAGTAGGACAGCTGGTGTGAGTCAGTCTATTGTATATATTTTTTGTTTCACAGATGAGATTGAGTGGGAGACAAGTTAAAGTGTAACAGCTGAACCTTGGGAATCAAGGGACAAAGGTGGGATTCTTCTCTCTCGCTTTGCATAGCGCTGGATCGATAGTATCTGTCACCAAGTTTGAAAGTTGAGACTGTACTTCCAAGCTGGGAGATCTGCGTTGCTTAACAAACCGCATTAATGACCCACTATTGATCTGATCTGACACGACCCCCTTTACTTTCTTTTTTCTCTTTCTCCTATTTCTTTCATTTTCAGACGATGACAGATGGATACACCGTCGGAGACGGGGATGAGAGAAGGAGAGGGATAACATCTTCTTTTATTCTAAGGGCGAGATTAGACCGTCCTCCTGCTTGTGTCTCCTTCAGAGTCTGCCGCTCCTTATCCCATCTGAAGGATGGTGTAGACGAATGATGGAGGATTCTACCCCCAACTGTACTTTCAAGTTACCTTTGCCTTCTAGTTCTGATCTGACTACAATGCTAAACCTTATCTTATCTTGTTTTCAAATTTGCCATATAAATAAATCTATGCGGATATGTTGGAAGCACATCTTTGAATCTAGATATCTATATATATATATAGATATACATATCATATAGATAGATATACAGGTAAAGACAAAGCCTTTTAGAATAAAAATAATATTTCTCTATAGAGCTCTCAGATTTTAAGAGCTCATTGAGGTGTAAGCTACTATCCTCAGCATCAGGGATGATAAATATATGATTGGAGTGATAAGTGCTATCATTCTCTTGTGAAAATAAACTACAACATCTAAGAGGGACAGGAGGGAGCTTCGATTACCTGAATTGGATCACTGATTATAAAACAACAAGAAGCAGAAATAGATGTTTGCTTTTAGTGTACTTTTTTTCTTTCTTGTCCATTTGTTAGTTTTGATCTACCAGCATCTGAGTTCTGATTTGTCACTGAATACTTTTCTGTCCCTGTTCTATAAAAACGGTAGTGTTCATAAACATTTGTTTTACTCTAATGCGCTGAGGCACTCCAAAGTTGTGAACGAAAGCTATATAGACTTTCATTTTGGATTTCTTCAAGAATCAGGTTAGAAAACAGTGCAAGTATTAACTTTTTTTTAATCTTGTTTAAATATATCCTGCTTTTTTTTTCCCCAACAGACCAATACCCAATATGGATATATATTTTATAATCATATTTCCATGATTTAGCGCCCCAAAAATGATACTTTGTGTGTAGAGGATGGCAATGATCTAACAGTATGACCCATGCAATCCTTTGCTGGGAGGAGGCAATGATGCTCTGGATGTAGACAAGTTTTTAAGGAGATGTTCTTTCTCCTCAAGTTTTGGTGAAGACAGAAGATGCCAGATGAACTTCACAGATTCATTTGTGATGAATGATTTTGTTTTTATGATGCCTTTCATTATTCATCTAATTTGGGATACATTTTTCGAATTATCTTTTTTCCTTCCTATCACCCGGCCCTGCATATTCCAGCAAAAGAGAGAAGGAAATGATCATTTGAATTTTAAGTTACTTTCTAGAACAAAAAGCAGTGATCCGATCCATAATTGAGGAACTAGCTTTCATTTTTACTGAATATCATGCTGTATAATCTACACGTATCATTGAAAAAAATAAACTTGGGAAAAAAGGATAAACTTTTAATCAGTTGATACAATATTGTGAGATTTCAGTTTTTGGTTTTCATTCTGAGAAATTAGAGTTAGATTATTTAATTTATTTAGCATTTTTCCTTTTAAGGAAAGGATTAAACTGATCAGGGATAAATAATTAGAAATTACACATTTGTTTGATTTATTCATCAAGTCTTGCAACAATAACTTTTGGATCCAAGTTCAAATATTATCAGTTTATTAATAAATGAATCTCAATCTGAATTTAATTGTTTGTATTGTTTGATAAAGTTTGTTCAAATGGAAGATAAATTCATCTTCATTCATCTTTTTAGAAGATGATGGGATTGATTACGGCGCTGATCATTTCTGTGCATCCATGTTCTGTAGTTTATCAGCTGCTACTAACAAAAAGCATACAGTTAATCCCCTTCCCATCCCTTTATCCTACCGTTCGTACCTCTGGGCTGCAGTCCGGAGCAGCCGAGCCCCCGTTAAAGTGGTTCTGGGCCAAGAAGAAGGGCGAGTTAGCCATGTCCAGAATGGGGTAGTTAACCAGTACCACTTTACTGAAGTTAAACTTGTAGGTGAACCGTTTCCCTTTGGTTTTGTGCAAAATGCGCTTGTTATAGTAATACCTGCAGAGGAGGAGAGAGATGGGGAGAGGATATCGATGCAGGGATGGATGGAGAGGTGGAAAAGGATAAAGGAAAAAGGAAAAGGAGAGGGAAGGATTATCTTAATGCTCGCATCAAGGTTCTGTGTTTCCTCACTGTAAGCAAAGAATAAATAAACATCTTAGGTGCTGTGAGGCAAAGAGTTATGCTGATTTCCCACTGTTTTTATTCATCTCCTTCTTTCTTAAATCAATTCACGTCTCGCTGCCTTTATCAATGCAATGTGCTTTTTTGAGTAAATTTTTATTTAGTCTTTAGAAGACAAAGACCAGAAAAAGATCTAAATGCTAGATCCTTTTGAACTCCTGAGATAAAGTGCAGCCAGACTATTTCCTTTCATTTCAATGTTGCACTTAAAACAGACATTTTCAATGTTTTATGTGTGGAAAGTGGAGACTTTTCCAGGCCCAAATTCAAAGATTTGTCAATTATTTTTGAATAACAAATTATTTCTGAGGTTCAAGTATGAACATATGGATAATTTTCAATTATACACTGGAAAAAAGAAATAAGCATAAATGTCTTGATTTACATGTATTTACCCTTAATTTAAGTAGGTAAATGAGATAGTTTGCCAATGGAATGAGTATTTTCACTCTAAGAATAAGATAATTATATAATATGGACTGGAAACAAGACAATGCAATTGTTTTTTTCTTATTTTAAATGTAAATTGTCTGGTTCCATTGGCAAAATGTCTTCTATCTCCCCAATTCAAGAACAAATGCACTTATTTTAAGAAAAAAATTACTTATGTAGATTTCAATTTTTTGCAGTGTAATAGTTATCATGCTTTATACTAACAGCACCTATCACGACAGCCAACTATTTTCCAAAAAAATAAAAAACCCACACCTTTATTTTTGCTGCTCATACAACATCAATAGCCAAGTCAATGCAGACCAACAAACTTTTCTGTCTCTGCAGAAATCTATCTTAGCATTTCTAAACACGCTGTTACTGAGTACCACAGGATTTCTCAAGTCTGTTTTGTACTATACCATGGCACCAGTTTTGAATAAATCAAAAACCTCCACAAAAAGATTTGTATATACCCTGTGTATGCAAATGACAATAAAAGTTGACTAAGACTAAGTCTAATTCTAAGTGTATAGGATAATTCGTTTTAAGACAAAAGCAAAGAACTGATTATGTAAAATTACATTTAAGTCTTGATGTCGACAACCATGTTTAGAATCAGAAAAAAAGCAACAGCTATGGGTTTTTAAAATTAAAAAAAAAGTTATATCTATTCAAATACCAAGGGGAAATATATGTTTTTTTTATTTGTTTTTTTTTTTTCTCTGTACTTGTCAAACCACTTAAGTGAAGATTTTTATTTTTTTAGGGTGTTTTAAAGGCTTGTTAAAGGTCTTTTCTGTTTTATATTTTTTCCACGACTGTTGCATGTTTGGAGAGTTATAAATAATTGGATTACAATTTTTTTTTACAGTTTATTAACAGTTATACCTAAAATGATTCATAACTCTGACAGATTTAGGTATAAAGTTATGTTTTAGTTTGACGCACGTGCTTCCTCTGACTAGAATTAAATAATGTTTCAATTTGGCCTTGTTAGAGACCTCAGTTGAATCGGAAAGAAAATGTGGAGCGAAGTAAAGATTACGGTGATGCCAAGACGTTATTTGAACCTCAAGGACTTGGAGTTTATCGCCAAAGATAAAATGCTTAAAATATCAATAGAGTGATGCAAAATACTAATCAACAGATATAAGGAAGATCAGATTGCTGAACTAATAATACAGACTGTAACACAATGCCTTTTGCAAATAGTATATATTATCTTTTATTAAAAACATGATAAATACCGGTATATAATTTTAAATCAGTATCAACTTTGTCTTTATTATCAATAATGTTCTTGGGTAAAAAACATTTTTACCTGATTTTTTTTTTTTTTTTTTTTTTTTTATTGGAATCCACTGTTGAGGATTGCTTTGGTTGTAAAGACATTTAAAAATCTTTCTCAATTTTTTATTCCAAGCAAATTTATTCTTTAAAAAAACTGTTAAGAAACAACCTTTTCACATGAAATATTTTGTTTAGTAGAATATGCCATTTTTAGAGTAAACGTTATCATATGAAGTGGGAAACAAATCTTAATCTGAATGTGTACTTCGAACACTGTTAGTGTCTAACACTACTGTGCGTATTCACAAGAAACCAAGAAGCTGTCAGCATTTCCAACAGAGAATCGGATAGTGAAATAGGTGACACAACAACAACAGTAGTCACCATGGTAGCGACCTTCGGTGTCTCCCCACGGGCATGTCAAGCCCTCGTCATGCCAGTTTCCTTTACCACCCACAGAGGTGTCACAATATACTGTCTGCCAGGATGCTAAGCTGATCAACGCTAAGAGGGTGGGAGCCATCTGGCTCAGGTGAAGGAGGTGAAATATTAGGGTTGAAAACAGGATTAGATGGGGTCTGTCACGAAATAGCTGATGAGTTATCGCGAGATTCAGAAAAATCTCAAAAGAACTCTAAAAAAAAAAAAAATAAAAAAAATCACATTTAGAGTCTATAACCCAGCCTCAGCTTATTAAACCTGACTACAAAGCTCCTCATTATGCAGACCCACTCTATCAACAAACAGAGCAGAATGTTCATATCAGCATGTATTCACAGAGGCTGATCCCCGGTGCAATGATGTGTACATGTTTTGCTTTGCGTGGCAATTGTGCCTTGGCCCCTAATTGAGCAATTAAGTGAGGCTAATTAAGAAGGCTAATTGTGGCCCCAGCCAATTCATAACAATTAGACTCTGACGACAGCCCCCATTAACAAGGGGCCAAAGGAAAGCAGGAGGGGGGGGGCCGTTATGCAGGGGGGGTGAAACAAGTCGGGTCGGTGAACGTTAGCGCGATAAAACTGTGAGTGATGGGGGGGTGTAAACTGCTCCTTCAGTTTGGAGCTGAGTGCTTTCACTAGTCCAAGCAATTTTCACACTGCGGCTGAATTTTGAAATCCCTATTGAATTTTTTATTTGGCAGCTCAATGGTGAACTTTCCATTAGGATGTCGGCTGATAAGGAGAAATTGAGGATATTGACATTCCCCTGGAGAAGTCTCGCCTTTATCTTTCTATTTTTACTGACATGAAAAAGAGAGGAGTTAAGTGAGGATTAAGTTTGGAGAGAGTAAACAAATAATGTAAACTGAGGGAGGGTTGTGGGATAAACCTATCTGATAGAGACGTACCGCAGCGCCCGGCTCAGTTTGTCATAGTTCATGTGAGGCTTGCACTTTCTTATCCCCCACAGCCGCGCCACCTCATCTGGGTCCTTGATGACAAACTCCCCGTAGTCTCCCTGCCAGGCGATCACGCCCTGATACTCCTCCTTCTGTAGCAGCTCCAGGATGAAGTGCCACAGCTGGATCTGCCTGGATCCTGGGCTTGATTCCGGCTTGTAGGCCCAGTCTGGGAAGGCAAAACCTTTACAGCAAGAAAGAAGGGGGGGAGATGGGGTGTCAAACACAACAACAAAGGAGGAGAAGGTTAAGGCCTGTCGTTTGTCCCGCTGCTCGCTAGGGGGGGATTGCTGTCTGAATGACTGATGAGTGATGGAGCTGAGGGATGATGTGTTTAATATCACAGCACGTGCCTTGAGCAATGTTAGTCTGTGCTAATGCCCTCTAGCCTCAACAGATTGGTCAGTAGGATGATGACAGCTCGCTGGGGGAGATCTGGTTGATGTTGCCTGGGCCTGAATTTTAACAGCGAACTACATTCACATCATATAAGACTCTGTTTCAGCCCATAGTTATCTGGCTCTAAGTAGCCTTGGAAAAAACACAAGTAGAGCCAATTAGCACCACAGTCTCCAGCATTGCTGAGGACTTTTCTTTTTTTAATAAAAAACAGAATTCTTAGCATAACTTTGACCAAGAGTTTTAGGATGGTTATGAGCCAAAATTTGACTAGTGTGTTTTCCTCTAAGTATTTGAGCAATTATAAAAAAAAAACAACAAAAACAGTTTGCACCAAAGTAAAAAGAGAGGTATTGTTTACATTTAGCTAACTGGAATCACTCACCTGGGGTCCAGAGGGCGGGCACAGGGGGGATCAGCAGATCGCTGACGCAGTTGCAGTCCATGCCTCTACAAAACCTGAAACAATAACAACAATTAAACTTTGTTTTTTTATCTTCTCCAGATGGAACCAAAGGAATAGGAGAGAAGATCCACTCTTAGTAAAGTTTACGCCAGTCAAGCTGAGGTTGAAGAGCGTAAACTTTGCTAAAAAAATAAGATATTGCGTAAGGGCGTAAGGAGCACTGAAAGTTGAGAACGGCACCTTAAAATCGATGAGAAATACAGCAAGGTTATGTTTCATATGTCTTTGGTGGAGATAAGGTGTTTGATGGATGTGATCTTGTACAGCCACCTGAGGCAGTGTCTGATGCAATGTGGTGGACATCCCTATAGTGCATTTCTAACTCTAGGAATTAAACAGACTTTTGAAAAAGCATCCAAAAAGCCACTGAAGCGTGCTATGTTAAAATATACATATAAATATATTCCTTAAATATATATTTAAAATCTTTGGTTTGTTCTCTCTGTGTTTTTAAAAGTCACAGTGCAATTTAAGTTGTGAAACATGAAACCTAAAGAACAGGTTAATTTTCTCTTATGATTTATAGGTAGGTTTGGGGTGAATTTATGATGGTTTGAGGGTTAAAACATTCATCATCTAAAGCAAAGTTTTCCAAATCTTCTTAATGTAGTCTCTGACCCAAAGAAATAGGTTGACTCATGACCCAAACTATCGCTTGAGTACACCAAATTTTCTACAAAATCATTAAACCACCAGTGTATTAATATTACAAACAACCTCAACAACCATAGTACCGGTAGTTGGTTTCTTCTATTTCTAAGTGACATTTTATGCCTTTAAGCACTTTAAGATAAACACTTATTGCTAAGATTACTTTCTGTAGCTGATCTCAAAACCCCATATTGGTTTTAAAAGGTGGGGACACATTATAAAACGCTGGTTATAATATAAAGTATCCAGAAAAAGGAACACAATAAATAAGCCTTGGATGAAGTTCTAGATAGAAATATATTAGTGCAAGATAGCAGCATTGAATGGAGGAGTGTTCCCTTCATGGCCACCTGAAGGCCGGGTTTTACAGTCCAGATAGGCACTTGAGGAAGGTAGTGGCGACATTATAATTTGGGATGGAAAGATGGCCGGGGTAAAATACAAGGCTATTCTGGAAGGAAACATGTCAGAAGTCTTGAATCTTAAGAGCAGGTTCACCTTCCAGGAGAGCAACAGCCATGATTCAGTCTGACTGAGTGTGAGCTATTCTTTTGGTGAGCTGGTAGAGACATACATCAGATTTTTAGTTGTTTTAGACAAAAAGTCCCTTCATATCTGAAAGTTATTTTACAGCATATCAAACTTTGCAAGGTAAATGGGGCTGATTCAGCATCTAATGGGTACAGAGCATGTAGAATAACTTTAATTGCTCTTTTTCTCGTGTGGTGCTCATATTAGGGTCACTCAGCCAGTATTTTTGGGTGTGACGGACGTGCTGCTTTTTCTTCTTTAAAATCCAACAAAGGTGAACAATTTTACATAAAAAATATAACACAGATGTTCAGTTAAATTAGATAAATGTAAACAGCATACTTATTGTCATAAGTATTTTTTTACTCTTTAAAAAGAATTTACAATGTCGTTTCTGTAGCAATTCTTTTTTTAAATCTTGATTTGATAAGAAAAAAACGGAAAAAAGTTTCTGTCAGAGTTTTAAACAATCATGGAGTGTTGTTTCAATAAAAAAAGAAGAAACAAACCTTCCCGAACAGAATTGAACAAAATATGATGAATTTCTACTGATTTCTACCTAATGAATTTCAGCATCAACAAGAAAAGCCTTTTTATTGAAATTGATGTGTATTCAAATTAGAAGAGTTCACACAAAACTGTAGCAACAAGAAGAAAAGAAAAAAATGCATCAATGAAAACAAATAAAGTCTTGCAAAAAACAAAACAAAAAATGTTATAAAAATTAAAACCCAATATGCCTCCAAACAAGCAAAAAGTAAAATGTTATCAAATGTCTTTTATCCAAAACGCCCACATTTTCTTACCAGTCAATGATATGGACCTAATCAGACCTAAATATTAAAAATCTACAGAAAACATTTTGGATTTCCACTCAGTAGCATCCTCTCATCCTGTTTATACAATCTAAGGAGCATAATGAAAGCATCTGTTGACAGGAAGGAAGTTTTAGTGTTTCCATGAGGCCTGGATCAGGTTTGGATGTGTCGGTTTGGTTTGGGCGGTTCTATAAAACTCAGACAGAAGAAATGAACCAACTGCCTCGCTGGTATCTTTAACACTGCCCTTTCTATGTTTCATTCCTTTTCTCTTCTCTTTGCTCTCTCTGCCTCTATTTAATTATGCTCTGTGAATTTTGGATTTTCCCTCCAGCATTGAAATGGAACGTGAATTATTAAGGTGTGTTTGTATAAATTATTATTGCTAACTCCAGGCATTTTTCACTCCCTCTCTCTCTCTCTCTCTCTCTCTCTCTCTCTCTCTCTCTCTCTCTCTCAGCCCTCTATCAGCGCTCGCCCTGATTCTGTAGCCGTTGGATGGCGGCCCCATTCACCCTTCTTCTTCTGCTCCTCAACCTTTCTTGTTTCTCAGTTCCTTTTGTCCACAACTTTTTTTTCGCTCATGCCTTTTATTTGTTCTTATCATTCTTTTTTTTTTCTCTCTGTAATGTTACATGCACTTTAAAATAAAACTAACAACTTGTTTTGCATATGATGTCATGCAAAATATAAAATCTCCTTAACCTATCACACAAACACTTCTTTCTGATTAAATCAATCTGAATGAAAAGTCGGATCCTTAAAAAAATTGGAGATTCTTTGTGTTGGAGGTAGTAATCTATACGTTTCCTGGTCCCTGTGGGCTACAGGTCATCAATACTGCATCATCTCTTTCATTTACCATATTCACATGGTCTACAGCATGTATAGACTCGTCTCCTCTGAGGGCCATATGCATGTGCTCCTATCAGTAGGGGGCCTCTCCAGCAACCTCTCCAACCACCTACGCACCACCTCAGATCCATACCCATCCACATTTTTTTTCTTTTTTTTTTTATTCTCCATCCTCCAGCATATCTATACAGGTGACTCCTCCTTTCCTGTTTCCCACCTCCTTCCTTTTCACACACACCTATCCACTGTCATCCCTTACCTCCCTCCCTCCTGCCCCACCCACCTCCTTTTCGCACCTACTCTGTGTGTTTTGCTTCGGCGCGGTAATTTTCCGTTTGATTTTGGAGGTAATGCATTTTTTACAAATCAAAGAGGAAACCAGCCTGCCCCTACCTCCTCCTTCTCCTCCTCCTTCGTCTCTCCATCTCTACCTCCCTCTCTCATTCTTTTTTTTTTTTTCTTGCCCAGTCTCCTGTTCTTGCCCCTATCGGCCCCCCAGGCCAGAGAGGAGATAAAGGAGCCCCCATCATTTCCTTGTTAGTTTTGATTTGGGCAGCACAGGGCTTTCAAGTTCCCCCCATCACCCCCAGAAACATTATAACTAGCAGCCCAGGGAATACAGTTCCTCGTACACACACACAGTTGCACACGCATACACAAACTGTCAGATCCAGGCCCTTGCAGACTGTAATGGATTGCACAGTCTCAAACAGATCCTGCCAAAATGTACGAGTATCCAGGTAGCCGTCGCATGCACACAGTGGGAAGCAGTGCACAAAAATAAGACATGGAGCCCATAGATATTGACTGAATCAATACTGACACACTAACACACATCTCACTGAGCAGAACGTGAGAATCCACTTTGTTTATTGTGCTGATTGTACGAATAGATGGGGGCAGACACACAAAAAGACTCAAAGCACTTTGGTTTGCACAAAGCAGCAATGGAAACAACTTGCAAAAACAAAAGACCTCTTCCACACAAAAGGTCGCCAATAAGCTAAGCAAGGATGATGGATCACAAAGTTAGAAGCATCTCAATATACACAAAAGAGACACAGGATTACTGTAAACCTTTAGATATCGACTTAGAAAAAACAAAACAACTTGTAATTTTTATCAATTAGAGCAAACATAGAGGCCTGTGCTGGTTTTATCAAACGGACCATCACTACTGATGACCCTCTGGTTTGCTGATGAGTCGCAGGTTTATGTAACCTGACTTGCAGCACTGTGTGTTTGGCATGGGGAAACATAAGAGTTTAATAATAAAGAAAACTCGGAGGCTCATGATTAGGAGGTTTAAGACCATGGCTGTGTCCCGACATCTGCCCTTATCACTATATAGGGCGCAATATAATGTTTACACCATTTTAAATGAGTGTCCATACATCTAGTGGATGAAACAATAGTGGACTCAAAATTTCCCACAATGGAAATGTGGTGATCATCCATTCTCACTAGATGAGCAGATATATGCTGGAATGCTTTTCATGGAGAGCTCTCCTCTCAAAGCATTATGGGATTTGTTATCACATCGGCCTGCTGTCACCATAGGCTGCCGCTATCTGACATCGGCGACAAATAACAAAGATGGCGCAGGCACCGCGCAGTGGAGGAGGGGTTTTCGACTAACGGGGAGCAAAAAGAAGTGAACATCTGTCTGAACGGTGAGTTCACTGAGTTCACTATAAAGTCCACAATGAAGTCCCCACTCTATTTAATGATTGAGGGATTTACGAGTTTGGGAGGACATTCAAACACAGCCCATCTGTCTGCTTTGGTGCCATTTTAAAAGACAATATGAAATGGAAAGAATTATTCATGTTTTTATGAAAAAGCAACTTGTTTGAATGTTTCACTAATTCTAGCAAACAGACAAAAGTTTATTATGACTCTCCATCATGATGGATGGATGGATGGATGGATGGATGGATGGATGGATGGATGGATGGATGGATGGATGGATGGATGGATGGATGGATGGATGGATGGACAAAGGCATGCTGCATTAACTATTGCTAAACTTCACATTGATGAGATGAGTTGAGGAACAGTAAAAAAAAAAACAATATCTGCTAAGAATAAAATCCTTGATGTTAGATTGCTTTCATATTCTTATAGATAATTAGACA